AGTGGAAGAAACATATGAGCACATATGATGGCATTCTAGAAACGTCTGTAGCCCCAGTATTATTCTGAAGTAAGGGTACATATAACACGATAAGGCTATCATAGTGTTGAACGACCCTGTGAAAGACAGTGACTGATCTCGCTTGTCAAGGTTATTTGGTGACAACCTGTGCACACAATAGGTGCTCTGATGTAGGCGAATACACCGCAGCAAGTTCACTGGACTAAACCACCAGAGGATTTCATATGGATGGTAACCCCAGTGTCTATGGAACAAATCCTCTAACGAATGATGGTGCATGTGATCCTTAGACCCTAGATCACCAGAGCGCCTTGTGCACCGATTGGTGCAATTTGACACTAGCCTAACGCAATTCTTTCAGAGCTGTCAATACGATGGTGATTGGCTGTATCAAGGAGTGTATCAAGACTATGGTGGATAGACAGAGGATTATCACTCCTGGGTACGAGAGAAGTTATCTCACGACGCAATCAGTATATGGCAATGACACTAAAACTGTGGCCACAGTGGGATTGAGTGTTGCTCTATCCGGATTATATACAGGTCATTAGTCTAGAAATGAATACATAATATCGAGAGTAACCAAAGGTTGACACTATTTATGTCTTCGTCTCGTCAAGATAACGAATGATAAAAGGATCGAATTGTACGGTAATTATATCGTTGACAGATAGCTACTTGCTGAATCTGAATCTATCGAGTAGCCATGATGCCTTGCTAGGGGCCAATCTTAGTCCGTGTATTCGTGAGACAATAATTGGTGTTAATCGCGATACTATACACTACCGGTATGATGAGGAGCCTATGGGTCACAAACATAGAAGATAATTAAGACTTAGGAAGAAAGAAAGTGTTTTCGTCTTTTAGGCGAAAGGGTATTTTGGTAATTTCATTGTGCAATTAAATTTGCTAAGGTCGTAGCCTTTTATTTAATTTGTAGAAAAATTAATAGTGAAATTGCATTTAAATATGTGTTAGCATATATTTAATAAATTATCATTATTGTTAAATGTTAATATATATATTAATTATTTAATTGAAAATAATGATGAATTAAAATAAATATCTAATTGAGAGTGTTGGAGACATGGGGTGTTGGGTTGGAGCCCAAGCCTATTCCATATGGGAATAGGGCTATTAAATAACACTATATAAGAAAAGTGTTAATTAAAAGAGTAATGCTAACCTTACTCATTCCCCCTACTCACTTCTCTTACTCACCTTGTTAAAATGTTAGCCTTACACTTTTTCACCTTTTTAACAAAGGGGAGTAAGAGAAAGTGAGTAGGGGGAGTAAGTAAGGCTAGCATATTCTAATTAAATTGAACAAGGTTTTTTTTATTCATTATTTTGATTGAAAAGAAAACATACACAGCCCCTTCCTCTCCTCCACGCCAGACTTGGTTTTGCTTGAAAAGCAATTTCTCTTATTTCTTCTTGATTCTTAAGGCTAAGGAAGATCTAGCAAATTCTTCCTTAGTTCCTTGCACATTGTCTTCATGTGGACTATGTTGATTCGACACTACACTTGGGTTGGTAGCAAAACACGTTCAGAGAAAAAGATTGGAGGAGCCTCCAAATGTGCGTATGACTTCTTAAACTCTTGATTAATTTCTGCAGATTCTTAATATGATATAAAATGTAAAATTATGCCTGATCTTGGTTCTATGGGAACGATCCTTGTATTATTGTTTTTGTTTTTCCACTGCCTCAATGGATCGTTTCCTAACAGTTTTTGTTTTGGATACCGTTGAGCCTAACCTAGGGCATCTATTGCGGTAGGTGGGTTTCTTGTATTCTTAATCTCCGTTTGTTCAATTTTTGACAAGAGAAATAGAAAAAAAAAAAGAAGATTAAGAGTTATCTTGATAGTATCATTCTGTTGCTCTTACCCAAGCTTGTCCTGAGGTAGGTTGACCGGTTTTAGGCTCTTGTACATTTTTTCTCCCCTTTCTATGAAAACTTGACTTACCCAAAAAGAAAAAAAAAAAAAAAACAAAAAGATTGCAAAATGCTTATTGAAATTATAACTCAAGCGGGCCGATTTACACTTCCCATCCTAACTAGCTTAAAATAAAATTCCACCCCAAGTTTCAGAAACTATCACATTCACCCACATTAATCTCCACTCAATTCAAATTGGGCTTTGACTAAGTTGACCATTCAAATCAATTTTACCCTAAGTTATCATTATTAAAAATAATAAAATAATTCGAATAATCTTTAATCACTCCCTCACAATTTGTAATAATAAATTAATTAAATAATTACAAATTAACCTAAAAACTACAAAATTATTAAAAACTATCTAAATTTCAAAATTTTCACCAAGACCCTCCTTTCACTTTTAACACCATAACACAAACTAAAACCTAGTAACTTTGGTTCAAAATCAAGCACAATTAAAAAAAAATCTATGATGGCCTCGGCTGGCAAGCATTGGGATGGAGTGGCCACCTAGCCATGGCATGGCGTGTGGCACAAAGAGGGGGGGGGGGGGGGGGGGGGGGGGGGGGGGGCGGGTGGGGTGGGGTGGTTGGTCAAGGAGGGTCAGTTGATCCTCCTTAACTTTGAAAAATTATCAAAATTCATATATATATGAGATTAACTTTTAAATTCATCAAATATATCAAATTAAATTCTTAGTTTTTACAAAAGAAAAATCTCACAAATACATTTAATAAATTATATATATATAAGGGTTAACTTACAACCCACTGTCACGGCCCCCTACTTAAATTGCGGATGCGTAGATGGAGAATCGAACCCTGAGATCATGTGCCTAACCACATTATCACATATTCGTTCTAACCATCTAGATTACCCACAGATTGGTCATATCAAAATATTGAAGTTAGGAAAAAAAAGATAAATATAAAAAATATGTATTTTGATGCATTATTTTAAGAGGTTGAAATATAAAAGTGAAATTACAACAATAGTTATAATATTTTATAATAAAAGCTAGATAAATCCTTGAATATTTTATTAGTAAAAATTTTGTTATAGTTTAATTTGGAGATATTGTTATTTGTGTTGGCTTAATAACTTATTTATTAGTAAATTTTATTGGTTTTGTTTTACACTCTTTAAAGTATTATAAAGTTATTTTATATCGTCAAATACAATCATAAATATATTAATTATAGAGAGCATTATAAATAAATACTCATATTTGTATAACTTATAACCTAATATATTATTTATTATAAGTTTATTTACAATTGTATTATTAAGTTTAATTAACGTCTTGATCTCCTTAAAATGAGTTTTTGACTACCCCTCTAATAGTGTTTGCCCAGCCTTTTAGTAGCCGACAATCGACCTGGGCTTGGCCAGGCTGTTGAGCAGCCACCATGGCCTAGCAGCAAAACAAAATTTAAGTTTTAACCCATCTCTATTCTCTTTCACTGCCCCAACCAAAACAAAACAAACCTAGATTTCATATACTCTTCCAAAATACACATCTCATTCTCCAAGATCAATTCAAATCTGACCCATGGGTAAATTTCTAGAGGGCTGTAACAAATTCCAACCCAGCCCATTAAACCTCCTTCAGGCCATTGTTCATCATCTTGGCCAAATTATATTTTTCTTTTGTTATAACTTATAAGACACCAATTATTTCCATTTTTCCCGTCAAATTAATCAAACTTAATCACATAATTCATCAGACCAGAGAGCTTCGATGACAAAGATTAATTAAAATTAACATCACTTACTACAATATCACAATCCCCCTGCATTGAAAATTAAAAAAAAGAAAAAAATTCAATCTATGTTACTTGTAAAATCGAACAAATTGTTCAAGAGCAGCAACAATAGAAATACTATTCCATGGAGTGTTGAAATATTTCTTCCTCAAGCTGACGTTCCATTTCAGCCATGGCTTTTTGTAGTGACTGTTCAAATCTTTAACAAGTGAATCAATTCGCCCCTACGATAAAGTTACGAAAAATATTTGATACCGCTTCTTTATCCCTAAACCGGTGCTCAATAATCCCCTTTTAAACAAGTAGATCCACGTCCTTTGGAGTGTCAGCAAGATAACTTATGAGAAGAACATAGTCATTTATAAAATCTTCGCAACAATGCATCTACTCAAAAGCAAAAACATTTCCTAACAAAACTTCCATGGATCCGTATTCTGATTAATGGAATTTCCCATTTTCCATTACTAAATCTTATATTAAATAAATTTTTGCTTGTTCTTATTTTGAGCTTAACTCCAGCTTGACGTAGCTTCATTACACTAGAAGTGGTTAGAGCTTTAGGTCTCTTTTTTATTGGTAAATCACAGGGGGGAATACAATTTCTCAATTTCTTAGAAAACCAACAAAATGTTCAACCTTAGAATTACAATTGATGGTTTCATCCAAATTCTCCATTATGTCAAAAAAAAAAAAAAAAAAAAAAATCCCAAAAATATTTCATTCCCTTATGTATATTTTTTTATGATAAAGGGTAAAGGCTTCCATTATGTCATCCTCAAAATATGGTTGTCTTTTCGACGGGAATTGCCTTCCAAATACTAATAGCTTTGTTAGGGCTCGCAATTGAGCTTTGTAAGGAGGCCGTAGCATATTGTGACCCATTCAGCCCAATATTCAATTGTATCAGCCCATTATATTGCCCTAGAACGTCATTCTACATGTTATTAAGAAATCTTATAGGGTGGGTAATTTTTCCGTACTTTTTAAGGATCTCATAATACCATACATTAATCTTATTTATGATATTTTTATATTTCTATTATGTAATCACTAATCACATATCTTTATTTGTTTAGATAAAAGTTCAAATTAGAAGAAGATTATGATGCTTATATTAAATAATCATACAAACGATAACTCCTATTTTAATACAAACACATAAGGATTAGCCATCAAGTAGTATAATGAATTTTGATCCTTCTGTTCTTTTATCGATCTCAAATTAGCACAATAAAATCATTTGAACATGAAATGGAAGAATCTACTTTACTTAGGGATAGAAAACATGGTTTGTGTGAAAGTGAGCAGGAGGAGAATTACAGCAGCAATAAAAGAAATGATACTCCATGGAGTTTTGAAATAATCTTGTCTCAAAGTCGCCATCCACTTGTGCCAAGAGGCTTCGCAGTAACTATTAAGATCTGCAGCAATAGAAGAAAAATAATAAGAACCAGACATATGAAACGATGCCAATTCCACAAGGTTCCGGAAAAGGATCGATATCCCTTCACTATCCCTATGCCAGTTTACAATAATCCCATTTTTCACAAGCAAATCCACATCCTTGGAAGACTTCAGAAGAAAATTCATAAGCACAACATAGTCGTTTATGAAATTGGCAGGGCAATTGCATTGCTCAAAGGCCAAAAGATTTCTCAATAAACATTCCGTGGGGGCTCCAATTTTGATCTTTGGAATCTCCAATATTCCATTGTTGAATCTTATGTCAAATAAGTTTGTGCTTGAACTCAATTTAAACCTCACTCCAGCCTGATGTAGTTCTGTCACACTTGGTATAGTTGTATATTTAGAATCCTTTCGTACGTTTAGGTTTGAAGGTAGAGCTCGGATTCGCACAAAATCGACAAAATGTCCCACCTTAGAATAATGTTCCTCATCCAAATTCTCAATTTTACAGATATCCCAATATTCACAAGAGAATTTGTGAGTGATCTTAATCATGGAAACTCTCTCATGGTCAATTTCTATATTCGCTAGAGAAAGCAAATCCTCGAGAATAAAAAATGGAAGCTGATTTTCAAGCACAAACAAATCATTCATGACATCCATTAACAACCAAGGTTTATTATATACACGATCATTGACAGGCCTTTTTCCGAAAAATCCCACAAATAGTACCTCAAAAATGAAGGAAGCATCTACTAAAATCATTTTCACAAAATCATGACTAGAAAGTGCAATGTTTTCAGCATAATATGCTCGCAATTTTGATTCTTTTTTTCTTATAAATTCTACAAAAACTTCCAAGCTTACCTTGGTTCGTTCAAGAAAATCTTTCAAGCATTTTCTTTTGTAAAATTCCATTGCTTTAAAGCATTCTGTGTCGTGGTGAAGTGGGCCGATGGAGACTATTAGAGGTGTGTAGAATTTTTCATTTGAGCTACGGAGTCAATTTGGAACCCTGAAGATACAAAACTTTGTAGATAAACGATGTATGCTTTCTATCTCTCTTCTCAGTGAAGCTGCTGGGTTTTCAAGGTCAATTGAAGAATCGTTGCTTGTATAGATCTTCCCGGTCGCTTGCACTTGTCAAAACAAAGTCTATGAGAAAGCATATTATTATTACATAAATGCATGACAATTGTTTCAACAAAACAAATTCAGAAAATTAACTTATTTGCAATACTTACAATGTTATGATGATTGGTCTGAAGCCTTTAATTACAATAAGTATACTGATCGCAGTTTACTTGAAGTGCGAGAAGAACATAATTGATAATATTGCCTCTAAAGTTGTTATATGTATAATATATTATGGTACTTTTGGTTTGGTTCTTAACAATATATATTCTATGCTAGTCTTTGTTTATACAATATTAATACATTCTTTTTTTCTTTATGTGAAATGCAAGGTAAAGTCCACGAAATTATTAATTATTTGCATGAAGTTTCTATGAAATGATATCACAAAAACAAACAAGAATTAGGTGATCATAAAGTGTAATCTTTGTTGAATACGTAAGGATGCAAAACGAAACACCTAAACTTTCCTAATGATCATTTTGTTTAGTTTATCGTTTTATATATAAAAACAAAAAATATGAAATAGAGAAGGAAAATGGTAGGAAACAATCCATCGTAAGTACTAAACGATTAAGAGAATATTTAATTTGTTAAAGCAATAGGGTAATGTTACTCCTATTAATACAGTCCTTAGATGAAGATAATTGCAATATTTTAGTTTTAATCACATAGGATTATAATAAGTTGCATCAAAAAGTTGACACTACCTTGTAAAATTGTGTACCCCGGATTAGGTGTATAGACGATTAGTTACAACAAAGACATAGCAACCTCCAACGAATTGAACCTCTTGTCATCCATTATATCAATTGATTACATATCATCAAATAACAAATAATTTTGTTGATCCTTTTAATTTTTCCATAAGATACACAAAATCAATTGAAGAATTTGCTTAATTTACTTGCATGATAGAACACACGGCTTGTATAAAAGTGAGTAAAATGATAACTACAGCTTGTACAAACCAATGTTTAATAAAATCTTAATAACTTTAAAATATGAGTATTTTTAACGTTTCAATGCAGACTTATAAGCTGCTAATGGTCAGCTAACCTTTTATTAAGTTAAAGGACTAAAAGAATAGTATTTGGAAATGACAAGGACCAAAGTTATAATATTTGAAATGATTGTCCTTAAAATTACTAAACTAAAACCATAAGGACAAAAAAGGAATTATCTCATTGTTGGGAAGAGGTAGCAATCTAATTTGCCTAAGTACATGAGTGGTGTTATCATTTACGTACAAGTGGATAATATTTTAACTTAACACTTTATGCTCATTGGCTCCTCACGCTAGAGCTGGTCAAGGACCAGTCCCAAGCAGGCCCAGGCCTGGGCCCGTTTGGGACTTGTCCCAAATGGGACCAGTCACTTATGGGCTTGGGATCTATCCCAGGCCCATGAGCAATATTAGGACCCAAACCGGTCCCTAGGACTGGTCCTATAGGCTTGGATAACTTTTTCCTCGTGATCTTTTTTTATATTTTATGGGCGAAATAAAATTTTGTATGAGGTTTTTAGTATTTTTTAGGGGTAGATTAGTAAGTTTCTAAAAATTTAATTAATTTTAAAAAATAATAAATTAATAGTTAATTTTAATTTTTAACATAAATTCACATTTCACACATTCACGCTTCACAAATAAACAATTAAATAATTTTTTATATTAAATTATTCATTTCATCGTCAACAATATTTACATCATTCAAATCTGTATTCCTAAAGAGTTTGAGTAGTGGCCTTCAAGGTGCTGTTGTAGTTTTTTTTCTGCATGAGTCCAATCCTGTAAACATGTTATCACTTCAATCATCTCATTGGTTAAAGAACATCTTCTGTCTTCAATAATCCGACCACTCGTTGAAAATGTTGACTCGGATGCAATTGTAGAAACCGGCACAGATAAAATGTCACATGCCATTTGGGCTACAATAGGGAATCGACTTTCATGTTGGTTTCACCATTGAAGAATATCCATATCATGTTGCTCCTTCATCGTCATAAAGGACAGGTCCACTTGTAGGTAGCGATTCAGCTCATTTGGTCCATGTATGTATAAGTTGGAGCTGCTACTTCCGCCACGTTCCACATACGTCCACTTGCTCGATCCTTGATGGAGGGTTGCATTAAGGTCCTGATCCTCTCTCCTGAACGTTTCACTTCCACTTCCACTTCCATTGTACCTGTTCTCATATAAAGAAAAAATGCTATCCAATTTTTGTTTAACGTTAGTCAAATAAGACGTATAATCATGTCGTAAATGCTGACCTATCTCAGTAATTATACAGATAACTACGTGTAATTTAAACCTAGGATCTAGAAGAAGGCCTAATCCATATAAGAATGGAATATCTAACCAATGTCTCTCATATTTTTCTTCCATCTTTAAAACAGTTTCCCTTAAAATGTTATTATATCTATATTGAGCAAAAGTTTTAGCAATTTGAAGTAAAATATCTAACACTAAATTAGTAGTCGAATAATAAATATCACTTAATGTATTAGTAGCATCATAAAAAATTTGAAGAAATGAATAAAAAAAGTTCACAAACCGCCCAATCATCATAGCTGACAACTTCCTCTGGATAGTGCTTCCGATTGACGAAATCTGTAATTTGTTTCGCAGTTGGCAAAGCTTTTTCCAACATCAAGTAGGTGGAGTTCCAACGGATAGGCATGTCCGTACATAACTTCAAAGGTCAAACTGGTGGGTCTTCTTGCTTACAATATTTGACATACTCCTGCCATCTTTTATTGCTACCGCCGATGATAAATCAGATAGTCGCATGTACCCTCTCCATCTTCGAATGTATAACATCTAAACCTACTTTGACTATCAAATTAATGATGTGGCAAACACATCAATGGTGAAAAAATTTGCCTTCACCATGCGGATCCAATCTCTTTTCAAATAAAGAGATTGTCGCAATGTTAAAAGCTGCATTATCAAGCGTTAGCGCTACAACTCTATCAGTTAATAAATATTCTTGCAAAACTTCAAGAATTGTAAAATAAATAGTTTCAGCACTATGTTTTTCATATAATGGTTTAAAACCCATCAATTTTTGTTGTAAACCCCAATTATGATATAAGAAATGCATTGTGACAGTTAAAAATTTGATTTTTGATCTACAAGCCCATATGTATGATGTAAGTGCAATAGATATATTCCTAAAATTTTGAAATTCGTTTTTTTGTTATAAAGTTTATTTTGTTATAAATCATGTGAAATTCGTTTTTTAAGTTTATTGTTTATTTTGTTATAAAGTTTTAGTATATGTCTTCTACTTGTACTTCTAATAACAGGGGTATATGCTAGACAAAATGCAGTTTTAATCATGTGAATAAAATAAGGATTTTCAGATAAACAAATGGGAGAGTCCGTAGCAACTATGAATCTTGCTATTTCCTCTAGTGCAGCATGTGCATTGTATTGCCATGTTGAGAGAGTTGAGGATTGTGGATTAAAATTAAGTTGAGTTTGAATTTGTCTACCTGATCCGCTTGAAGATGTATCCGGCAACTACATTATTTAGGGGTGCTTCTTCTCCACGTGTCGTCGCATCGTCGAAGTCCCCTTCTCAACGCCAATAATGGTTTCACAGAAATTACATATCCCACACGATTCTTCCCCCTCCCCATTTGTCTTTGGCNTCAAAGTGTTAACCATTTTACAACCCTCAAACTTAATATTTCTTATTTCTGATTTTGAATTGAACCAAGAAATTTTTATTTTTTTTTATTTTTTACATCAAAATAATAACATTCATTCAAACTGAGGTTAACTATCTCTCTTATTCTTATTGCCCTTCTCACGACCCCCAAACTGTTCTTTTAGTGATTCGCACAACTCTTCACTTTCTTTGTGTTTGCATTAGGCCCAAAATTCTCCTAAGGGTACGATAAAGTGTTTATGGTAATTGGATCAGATAATTTTAGGTGTGCAAAGAAAATAAAGCAATGATAATCTCACAAGGCTCAAATGGTGACTAGAGACAAATCCATTCATGAGTCGGCTGGAAAGGCTCAAACGTTCCAAAAAATGTCTAAATCATTTCCTCAACAATGTCTATTCCTAAGATTTCGCCTCAAGCACTTCTCTACTAGGTTCTAGAATCCACCAACATTATCAAATTTTACCTAACCACATAAAATGAATCTAAGCATGCGGAAATAAATGAAAATGGTGGTTGAACCACTCAACAAACCTCAATCAAAATTCTGTCAATAAACATAAACTTGAAGCAATGCTTAGCATTTTTCAACAATAAAATCCCAACAATCCTACTCTCATCATGGACTTATGCAATTCATCATTGGCAACCACAACAAAAACACAAACGTAACTAAAACAAAAATAAAAAAAAATTTCAAATTTTCCTACCCCCAAACTAAAGATGACATTGTCCCCAATGTCACATTATGCACAAATCAGGAATAGAAAACAAAATAGAAAAAGGTGCGAGATAGTTCCCTAATCAATCCATGAAGTTGAAGTTCCGCTCAACAGTGTGCACACCCAGTCCTCACCTTTTTCATCACCCAAATTCTCTAAAAACAATTGCAAACTATGGTGTCCAGTATGTTAGAAAAATCCACTGACTAATATGAAAGTATTACACCCTTAATCTCGTCTTTACATCAACTAGAAATTAAAACAAGAATGAAACAACTAACACAATCCTAAACAAAAATATCAACTGAGTTCAATGTTCAAAATAAAAGAAAAACAGAAACAAATAAAACAAATAATAATAACGAAAACTTAAACAGGTGCTTAG